GAAAAAAAAAAAAAAAAAGAACAGATCACTATACAAACTGAAATAGGAGGTATGGTACAATTTGGGAAAGCGGGATGAGGGGAATGAGGGCCAATACCACTTTTGGCTTAGAAGTTAAAAATGTTAAACCAAGAGTTGGTAGGTAAAGTGTATCATGAGTAGCATAATAACCCTTTTCCTTGTCACTCTGTCTAAATCCTGAACTTAGGCCCCAAAGCCTTATTATTAGTTGGCTCTTAATAATATATTTACTCAAACTTTTAAAGATCTACTGGTTCAAAATGAAAATTTGCCGATAGAAAAAAATGAAATAACCAACAACAATAAATAAAAAGCTAAAAGAAATAAAATCAAATAAGGAAAATATGAAAGGCAATAATGAAAAAAACATGCTCAGACCAACTATAATTGCTGCACCAAAACCTCCATGAATTTAGTTTTAAAATTTCTCATAATCATCAGGTGTGGTGATATACACAATCTCAGCAGCTTAGGAGACTGAGGCAGTCTCAGCAATTTGGCAAGGCCCTAAACAAATTAGCACAATAAAATATAAAATTGTCTCAAAATAAAATATAAAAAGGGCTGGGGATATTGACCAGTGGTTAAGCACCCTGGGTTCAATCCCTGGTCCTACTACTACTACTACTACTACTAATAACAACAACAACAACAACAATAATTCCTCATAATCTAAGCAACCAAGGAAATAGCTACACACTTTCATTTATTTATTTTACTAAGCTAGGTGTCTTTGGAAAAGTCATATGACCTATTAAGTGCTTTACTTTCCCAATCAACAAAATGGAAGGTAATGTAATATCCACTTTACCTAATATAAATCTTGCATGGATTAAACATACAAAAGTATATGAAATATTTAGAACAGTAAGGAGATACAGTAATTTTTATAGGTGCTGGTCATCATCAGTATTATTGCTAGAACCATATCTTCATGATAGATGGTTTTTCTTATTCCTAAAAACTGAAAAAAAATGAGTTATAGGGAATAATGAAAATGTAATAGGAAATTATATAGATGCTACCATAATTATTCCTGACAGGAATTGTCCCCAAAATGCAGACATGCTTCACTAATAGTATTTCTTAGATAAATCTATATAGACATGGGTATATAGTTTAAATTATTTAATGATCTCTCAGCTTTTTCTATTAATTTCCAAAAAACAAATCTTTTCTTCATTGGATAAGAGAGCTCTTGCTGCATCTCTTTTTCACAGATGAGGAAACTGATACCTGGAGAGATAAAGTAGCTGTACTTAATTACCCCTTGTCCTAATCCCTAACTCAGGGAGGTGCAGAGAGAAAGATAAAGAAGGAGAGAGGAAGAAAGAGAGGGAGGATGGAGAGAGGGAAAGAGAAACTGTCTGTGGAGCAGAAAGCTCACCCAGGAAGAGCAAATCTGGTGTAGGAAACAAATGGGAAACTTTAACATCTGGTTATATAAGGACATTGGTTTAAAGAAGTAGGGCAGTGATTCAAGAACAAAGCACAATTTTCTTCTGTCATTTGATGCAGGACTGACCCTATCTTAAACTACAAAGAAATAAGAGATATCAGGTTGAATTGAGGGAACCCACAGAAATTGGGTAGGAATTTTTTTAAAAAATGAGGAATCTTAAACTTGAAAAAGATTTCACTTTTTTTCTGGGAGTCAGCTCTTAGAAAGAATACAGGACACTAGATATTCCTGCTCCCTATAGTTCATGATGGGATGAAGAAATAAAACACGGATTAGGTTAGTTGATTTAGCAAATAACCATATAGAATATGAGATTCCTGGAGGGGTTTCCCTCTACCTGGATAACTAGTGGGAAATATTCATCCATTATTTCTAGTCAATGGCCTCCTGGCTAGAAACGACTTCTGTAGTATCCTATAGTATGTGAGCTGGAGGGGAGAAGGATGCTGGTTTTGGAGCCCTCAGCCATAGTGCCTAGATATCCAACTGGGAAATCAGCTCAGAGATAAGCAAACTTTTGCTTTTCTACAGGAATATATGAACTGATCATGTGAGGCAAAGGGAGGAAAGAGCTAAGAAAAGTCATCTCAATTAGTGTGAAGACAGCAGCAGGTTAAGTTGGAAAAGAAAAAACAGAATTTTGTGTGATTTAGAAGAGGAACAAAAGGATTTTAAAAATCCTTCTGCCCGTGTTATATTCTTTTAATGAGAAATAAGTGGCTTATTTAGCCAATTGAAATGCAAGGCCATAGGATATGGGGGTAGCTTTAAGGAGAGAGGGCCTATAGCATCTATAACTCCTCTGGGTTTAATGGGCTTTGAACATGCCTACCAAAGTTCCATCTTGTAAATAAGCATTTGCCTGCTTCTCAAGACTAATAAAAATGTAGGGAGAGTAAATGATACTTTCTCCCCGAATTTCACATTTACCCTACTGTGTTCTAATACCAATGACAATTAATTCAGTTGGAAGCCCCAGACATTTATTTCTTCTCTCCCTTTGGACTATAGTAAGTTTGGAATGGAGAAGTCTGGATTGGAATACAGTTGCTGGTATTTCCTCCCACAATTGTTAGTGCTTTATTTTAAAAATTAAATACAGGACAAAGCCAGAAAAAAAATAATTTAAAAAAACCAGAAACCTAGAGACAACTGAGAAGCCCCTGTATATAAATCAATACTGAAAATGACCTATTAATGTTTCTCTCCTATAAATATACAACAGTTCTTTTTTCTTTCAAAGGAAACAACTACATCTTGTAGAATTAGACATATGCAAAAGAACTAAAAGTAGAACAGGACTTCACATACCCATGCTTTCCTTTGATAAGGCATCATCTGAACAAACATTTTCAAAAGAGCATTTTAGAATAGCTTTCCTAGGAAAAGAATTGGACAGATTTAATTTCAAATGTTCAATCGTATACATGTAAATGACCATTCATGAGTATTCATTGATAACCGTAGATTATTAGTATTTATTTAACTAAGGTACTTTTTCTTTGTTGTGTTATATAGTAACAACTTTTTTTTAATTATAAAAAGAGAGGACTAATATTGATTTAAGCTGTCATTAGGCACAATACACTGGTGATCTACTTAACAGTATACACCGTTTTCTTCATGTAATTCTCCTTTAAAAATCTATTAAGTATTTGCTCCTCTCATTATATGAAAAAACTGAGCTATCTGACAATAAAGGTAAATGGCTGAACATTATAGAACTAAATTCTGTTAAGACTGCAAATTCATGCTTTTTTCCAATATACAATGTTGATGATTTAAAGCAGAATTTTGTTCAAATCCCTTTTCTCTAAACATAAGTTATTATGAAAGTCACTCCACTTCTATATGCCTCAAATTGTTCATATTTTAAATGAAGATAATTGTGATACACTTTCTATTTACTTGATGGGATTACTGTGAAGTAGTACTGGTATAAGGCAATGAAAGTCCATTTTAAAAAATTAGCTATCTTCTGAAAAGGTAAAAAGGAGAAAGACAATTAATGCCAGTTTTTATTTTTGAGTAGAATTCCTTTTAACAAACACAGCACTGGTTATATTCTTTAACAAGTATGGCTGATTCAATGATAAATACTAAAATTTGTCATTAGTGGCTTATTAGTTTATTATGAAGCCCTGTTTCTGGTTTGTATTACCAATTTTAAGCTAGGATCCTTTTAATCTAGTTAGTAAAATAATATTAATCTTTAAAGTTCCAATTACAAAACTACATATTTATATGATTATGAAAATTTCTCCATATTTCTAAGATTACTACTAATAATCTTATAAATTCTTTTAGAAAACTTTAAACATAATGTTTCCCTAATAAAATGGAATCAAGAATTATGGGAAATGTCATATAATAATTAAAAAAACCATATATACATATTTACATTTTATCATACTACCAGCATACCTTTTTCTTTTTCTAAATTTGGGCTTTTTCTTTTCAATATTAGTTTTGGAAACTTGAATCTATAAAATAACAACAAAAAATAACTGAGTTAGTTCATATGGAACTGGATGTACTCACTATAATAATGGGATCTACATGGTTCAAGTATTTTAGCTGAAGAAAAACTCCAGTCCATATTACTAAACAATTAAAATACATACTATCACATCAAACAAGGTCAGGTCTCTAATTCACTTATGACTTATAGAAGAATTCTAAAATAACGAAAAAGCACTTCTAAAAGAGAAGAATCATTGATTTAATCAGGGAATGATTTTAAAAACTCTTTAGATACACTGAAGAGAGAATAAGTATATGGAAATATATTGAAGAGATCACCAAATCTATAAGAGAAAGAAAGAGAATTTTTGGAAGAGCAGTTAAGAGTATGGAGAAATATTAATGTTAAATGGAAAACTATAGAAATAAGGATTTTTAAATTTTAAATAAATTTTACTACCTTATTTTGTTATAACTTTTCTATATTACAATTAGATATTGTTCTTATTTTTTTCCGTGCCTAATTTATAAATTAAACTTTATCATGAGTGTGCTTGTATAGGAAAAAGCATAGTTATACATAGGATCCTGTATTATCTGAAGTTTGAGGTCTTGGAATGTATTCCCTATAATTAAAGGGAGACTACTGTATATCCATACAACAGAACATTATTCAGCCATAAAAGTAATGAATTACTAACAATTGGGTATATCTCAAGACCATTACTCTAAATGCAAAGTGAAAAGCCAGACCATAACTTTCCTATGTGCCTACATGAATATACAGTGAATCTCACTATCATGTACATCCATAAGACTAGGATTCTAATTAGAATAAGATATACTCTTTGTTTGTAAAATATGTCAAAATAGGCTCCACTGTCATGTATATCTAAAAAAAATCTAAAATGTTCAGAAAAGGGAAATCCATAGAGACAGAAAATAGATTAGTGGTTGCTAGGGACTGAGAAGAGGTGGAAAATGGACAGTGATTGCTCCATTTGGAGTGATGAAAAACCATTATAAAATTGGATAGTGGTATTGGTTGTACAACTTTAAATATGCTAGAAATCACTATGTGATATATTTTAAAGAGTGACATGTATGATGTATAAAATATAGAGCAATAAATACACAATTTAAAACATTTAATGGCATAGAAACATTGAAAGTAAGGAGCTGAAATAATAAATTTATAATTATTAACAAAAGTATCTAATGTAGCAATAATAAAGTTAGAAAAAGTAGATAGATAAAGTAAAAAAACAGAGTATAAAAAGGCTTACTACTCAATGCTAAAAGAAATAATTCACCCCAAAAATATAATTGCCCTGAGCTGTATATTCCTAAAATCTTTGCTTTAAATATACAAAGCAAAATCAGAATTATAAGTAGAATTTGATGCAACTATAGTTTATCTTCCTTAAAATTTTTGTAGAATTTATCTCTTTATAGAAGATATAAAAATCAACAAAGAGTTCAACAACACAAATAGAATCCTTGATCAAATAAATATATATTGGCTCTGACATTGAATATTAAAGAATACACATTCTTCAAGCCTGAAACATTTACAAATTTGACCACTTACTAGGTCACAAAGGAAGTCTTAAAAATATTAAAACAATCTCTGTTTTTACCTCTTTCACTGAATAAAATTCAATAACATAGGAAATAAAATTCCAAAAGATGGCGGACTAAACTTTGTAACAGAGTGATAGGAATAGAAGTCATACTCTCCATGAACCTTTATATCATATTTCCATGATCAATATATGAGATTTACCACTGGATAACAGCCTTTGTTTCTATGTCATGCCTTGTAAGCTGCAGGTGCATATAAAGAATTTGTGGGATAAATTTTGGGAGAAAAATAACATGTTGGGGTAAAAATAGACATCAATACAAGGGGGAAAAAGGTGTGTTACTGTCCATTTTTCAGCAGTATTCTCTTGGATTTAGACATTTAATGACATTATGAAATTTATCCTGAACTTCTAAGCCAGAACTTCAAAGCAATTCTCTTTTCAAAATGTTAGCTTCTTTTATTTCTTGTCTATTCACTTCAACCTGTCAGGTGTGAGAAGTTTCATAGCCCATTTTGTCTAGTCCCTTCACTGTTTTACTGATCTTGATTTTGCTGTTTCTGAATCAACCACAATTAAAGAAGCAATTTTTTAAAACTTATTTAATGTTTGGGAGCTAGAAGTACCATTTATAATGTATATTTAAAAGCTTTAACTATAATAAGTGAGGTGTGAATTTAATAACTCTCAAAATATTATTAAACAGCTTAAAATACATTAAACATCATTTAAGGGAGGTTTGTATGAAATACTCTGGGAATTCATCCTATGATGCTAAAGACTAATGATCTTCTTTTCGTGACCTTTTTACCTCAAGGTAATGTTTCTTCCAGTTCTCAGTTTCTCTCTCTCTCTCTCTCTCTCTCTCTCTCTCTCTCTCTCTCTCCATGCATAGTAAAAAAGGATATAGAAATATTGGCAAAATCATTGATCTACATCTCCAAACACAATGTAGAGCTATTATTACCTTGCTGTTATAAGTATCAGCCTAAATTATCTGTAAATTAAGTGTGAAGTAAAAGGGTTACTATAAAAGGAAATAATATTAATGTGACAAAATGAAAATAACTATAGAATTAATAGAAAATCCCATACTAACCAAATAAACTAGTCAAAATTTGCCTCCTACTCCAAGCCTTTGATACAAAGTCTGATGTGATTGAGATGAGCACAGATTGTGACATGGAAGGATCCCAGTTTGAATTCTAACTCTGGCACTTACTGGCTGTATCACTTTTGGTAGTCACTTGGCTTTTTCAAAATCTAGCTAAAGTCTGGTATAAATACTTAAATATCTACTACCTAAAAGACCATTTTGCATTTTAAGATACTCTGCTAAATTGTGATAAAACATAACTACCTCAAAATATTTAGGGGAAAATAAAATCAAATAACATGTCAGGAAGTATTCAATTGTACTTATCAATTAATTGTCCCAATCATTATCTATTACTGGACAGGGGTCCAAATTTTATCTGTTTTCTTTATAGCATAAACCTAGGCAACTTGTCATCTTAGGATGATTGGTCTTTGAGTAATATACTAGTTTCCTTAGGCTGCTATAACCAATCACCACAAATTTGGTAAGGCAACAGAAATTTATTATCTTACGGTTTTACACAATGTAAGTTTATCTCTTACAAGGCCACTCTTCATTAAATTAGAGCCTATCTAATCCTGGATCATTTATCTCAATATCCTCACAGTAATTAGATTCACAAATACTCTTATTCCAAATGAGGTCACATACTGGGATTCTATAAGTCTCTTTTGGGGGACACTATTCCACCCACTGTAAGAAGATGTAATCTTCACCCCATCTTTTCCACTTCTTTTCCCATGATTGTATAATGATTTCCCTATTTATCTAGCCCAGTTCTATTCAGAGGAAGGACCACAATGTGACGTGATCAGAAACACCTAAGAACATGTTAGAAGTGCAAAATTCTCATGCCTACCAAACAAGAAACAGTAAGGATGGGGCCCAGGAATCTGTACTTAAATATGCTAATTAGTTGACTCTTATGGTCTCAGTCCGCAGATGACCAGCTCCATTGCTGTGGAGACCATTGTGGCAGATAAGAGTGGTAAAGAAAAGCAGCTCAGAACATGAAGCAGAGAGAGAGATAGTCACCAGGAAGCAGAGAAAGCTTCCCTCACCAAGAACAAAATATACACCCAGAATATGCCCCCCAATGACCCACCTCCTCCAGCCATATCCTACCTGCCTACAGTTCCACTCAGCTTAATCCCTATTGGGGGATTAATGCAGTGCTTAGGTCAAAACTCTCAAAACCCAATCATTTCACCTCTAAACTTTCTTGCATTGACTCACTCATGAGCTTTTGGAGGATACCTCATATCTAAACCATAACACTAACGTTCATAAGGCAGTGGTCTAGTCTTTCCCAACATCTACACAAATATACTATATACATGTCAGTGATTTTAAAGAAACTGATGTAAGCATTAATTTTTCTCTTTCTGGATGTAAAAAATAAGCCATTTACTGAAAAAGAAATATATATAATTAATGATAATTTGAATTGTGGACTGGAATGGCAAATGATAGAATTGCCTTTAATTACAAAAGACAGAAAAATCCTTAAAAATTGTGTTTACATCAAATTTATATATTCTGACTTGACACTGCCCATTTCCTTAAGTCACTACTCATCTGAACAATTAAAAAAATTTTTTTAGGTAAAAGGTATAAGTTTGTTAACTTTGTCAAATCTGAATGTGTAAAATATACCTCCAGCATTCTGTGCTCATAGAAGACATAAATGTTTTGTAACTTTGACAACTGTCAGTTGATAATCACAAAAGAGCTATGTACTTTGAACTGCCAAAAGTGAATTTGTGTGCTTTGAAAAATGTACACAAACTCCTTGTTAAAAGTGATCATAGTCAGGCACAGCAGCGCACGCCTGTAATCCCAGTGGCTCCGGAAGCTGAGACAGAAGGATGGGGAATTCAAAGCCAGTCTGAGCAACAGCAAGGCGCTAAGCAACCCAGTGAGACCCTGTCTCTAAATAAAATACAAAAAATAGGGCTGGGGATGTAGCTCAGTGGTTGAGTGCCCCTGAGTTCAATCTCTGGTACCAAAACAAAAAGTGATCATATAGAAGTTTTAAAAAGGCTTATTTTCCTTCAGAAAATCTGCTGGGGAAATCTGCTTGGAAAAAGGATAAAAAATAGTTTCATGTAGCATTATACATCATGATAATTACTTAATCTGAGTATCTGGAGAGTACAGATAATACAGTTAAGTCTTCAGGCCTAGACAAAGATTGCTTGCAGAACTTCATTTAAAACAGGGGGAGGATTGAAATGATTTTTTAATTTTACATACTATTTCAACAGAAAGAACCCAAATCTAGTGTTTCTTACATAAATGTTAATCATCAATTGCCACATGCTCTTGTCTAGTT